TTTCGGTGCTGAGTGCCTAAGATTTACATATTGCAGATGTACGTTTGTACTCCTTGGTTAGGTGTGTGTTAGTGTATGTGCGTGTATGTCTATACATAGATACATACATATCTATCTGTATGTACATTTATATGTGTATATGTACATATATGTGTGTATATATATATATATATATATATATATATATATATATACATATATATATATATATATATATATATATATATATATATATATATATATATAGGCATATATATATATATATATATATATATATATATATATATATATATATATATATATATATATATATATGCATATATATATATATATATATATATATATATATATATATATATATATATATATATATATATATATGCATATATATATATATATATATATATATATATATATATATATATATATATATATATATATGCATATATATATATATATATATATATATATATATATATATATATATATATATATATATATATATTTATATGTATATATACATACATACATACACACACACACACATGTGTGCGTGTGCTTACATTGTGTGTTTGTGTGTGTGTGTGTGCATGTGCGCGTGTGTGTCTGATATCAGTTGTACTATATTATACCGAAGAATCTTTTCTACATGATATATACCCATACCGGCGTCTTACCCGTCAACATGCTGTTACAAATCACTTCTTCCTTTTTTACCAAAATTTAGATTAGCCTCTACGACCAAGTCCTTCGAATTCCTCTCTAAGACAATGGAAAATTCAGGTAAGGCGATCCGGAAACGCTGTCTCTCTCTCTCTCTCTCTCTCTCTCTCTCACATATATATATATATATATATATATATATATATGTGTGTGTGTGTGTGTGTGTGTGTGTGTGTGTGTGTGTGTGTGTGTGTGTGTGTGTGTGTGTGTGTGTGTGTGTGTGTATGTATGTATGTATGTATGTATGTGTATGTATGTGTGTGTGTGTGTGTGTGTGTGTGTGTGTGTGTGTGTGTGTGTGTGTGTTGCAACATCAGTCACAAATAAATGCTGTTGATGTTAGATGTTAAGAGCAGTAACTTAATATTGATGTACCAGAGCAATGGAGGACAACGGCTATTAATCATTGTATGCTGCAAAGTGCTTAACTGAAACAAACAAAAAAGACTTTAAAATAAAAGTAAATACTGTAATATGTAATAATTATTAGATATGTCTACTGAATACCAGCACTCTTTAGTTAGCACTCAAATATATGACTATATATGTTAAATGCAATATTGACTTTTTCCCTTTAATATAATCATTTATTTTTTCCTCGATCCTCGACATTTCACTGTGAATAGTGAAAGCATTGCTTGAGTGTTCGAATGTGTGCTTGCTTGTTCATATGTCCAAAAAGGAATACTGTTCGGACATTATAGAGCTTGGTGTAGCATAAAATATATTCTCGAAATGAATCGTGTGTTGGATAGTATGTTAGATGTATTTCTCAATAGGGATCGTAGATTATAGATATACATGTAATCAATATTTTCATTAGATTATACATGTGCATTTTTATTAGTATTAGATTATAGATACACAGTAGTTTATAGTATATAGTATTTTCATTAGATTATAGATACAGTTTTATCAGTATTTTGTTAGATTATAGATACAGTTTTATCAGTATTTTGTTAGATTATAGATACGCATTTTATTAAAGCAATAGGTTATTACTCAACTTTATTTGTCCTTCTGATGAGGAAATATCTACTGATGGATTTTATGTATGTAATTCTTACTGCTAAAATCATAGAGGAATCTCCTAGATAAATAGATTCGCCATATTATGATGACATAATTAGCAACATTACCTCCTCTAACACAGCAATTAATGGGTACTATAATTCAAGGCATGTATTAATCACTTCTTTACATTAACCACAATTATGTTACGTTTTCAGAGCGGAGTCCTCTGTATAATGGCAACCACTTCAATCCATACATGACTTTGACAAAAGAAGCTTCTAACAGCTACTATAATGGTCATGACTGCGTAGTTGAAACCAAGTCGGGCCGAGAGATCGAGGGTGCGGAGGTTACCACGAAAACTTACTTTACCCGCTTCTGGATTCTGTTTATTTTCTCCTTCCTTGCGTGGTTTCAGGTTCGTGGGTAATACTGTGTGTACGAAAAAGACAGTGAATGGCTTTTTAGACGCCCCGTAGAGTGAGTAATGAACGAATTAAAACGCTCGTGAGTGGGCAATGAATGGCTTTTAGATGCCCCGTAGACTGAGTAATACATGAATTAAATCGCTTGTGACTGAAAAATGATTTTTTTTTTAAGTGTTTGACTGAGCAGTTTATTAATTTAGACGCCACTGAGTGAGCAATGAATGGCTTTAGTTGTCTTTAACTGAGCAATGATAGCTTTTAGATGCTTATGACTGAGCAATGGGTGGTTTTAGACCTTTTTTTACTGAGCAATGAATGACTGTAAGACCTTTTGG